CCCTGCTCGTGATGAGGAAGATGAGACATCAGACTGCCCCATGGAGCAAGTCGCCGATGAGAATCCATCCGCCTCTCAGCAACCCGAGAATGTCAACATGGAGCAGGTGGATTATGATCCAGATTCCGACGACGATGATTCAGATGAAGAAGGGCATCCTCCCGCAGGAAGGCCTACGTCAAAGGCGATGCCGCATCCGAAACTTGTTCCAAAGTCACCGCCACCGGCATTGAGCTTGTCTCCAAGGCCAAGCCAGCACCAAAGAACATCCTGGATGAAGAGACGGAATCCGACAATCATCCTGGTGATCGACCTGCACTTCCAAGGCGACCAGTGATGCGGCCTGTTCTCACATCCAATGATCGGTGGTTTGTAACATATGGATCGGATACAAACATCAGCCTCCAGAAGGAATCCGTACACCCCGGACCTTTCGGAAACTCAAAATTCCTGAATTTTGTGTACGAGTACTACAGGGAATGCTCAACCATCCTCGATGTCAATCCGGATTTCCACTTCGTTCCTGAGCATGAGAGACCACATGGAGTTAAGGTATTCTGGTTGAAGGCAAGATTCAACGATTACTGGAATCCAACACTCCAAGGTGAAGGACAGCATGCGGAGAAGCAATACATGGACTTCATCAAGAAGGTCTACAGCATCTGCTGCTACACCAATGCTCAATCCGAAGTTTACGGAACCGACATCATCCCGATGGTATGCCACAACGGCAACATTGATCTCGAGAAGACCGTCCAGAATGTCGAACAGGTTTGCAAATACTTCCGCATGGATCCATCCAAGGCGAAACAGATCACAGATCTCCATCCTCTGGCGAATTGAGAGAATGAGCAGATCATTTTCCGGATGTCTTCGACAGGATCCAAGGCATGGAATCCATAAGGAATGCAAACGACCAGTGGAAATGGGTTCTGATGGATCCGTCGAGCTCTATGACGTCATTGACCTGCATCACACATGCCAGGAACTTCATTGGAAATAAGCCAGGACTTCTCTTGATGGCTATGTTCCCGAGCTAACGTTTCGAAATTGCATTCGTATTTCCATCCGTGGACGGGACATATAAGGAGCGCAAGGCACGGGGAGACATTGTTCCAAGGAATCGATGGATTGACAAGCTCACCACAAGATCCGCACAAAATGCACTCAGGCCCGATGGCAAGGAATTCTATGTCGATCCAGAGATGGAGTTCTACGTGAGATGCAACAGCGGACACACACGACAAGTCGAGATCCAATTTTTTGGACGACCCCTGTACTCTGAGCAGCAGAAAGAGCCTCAACACGACGAACCGGACTATGATCTACCAACGGAATCTATTCCGCCAAGTCCGCATCCGTCAAGATCCGAGGCGCCTCATGAAGATGAAGGCACAGCTCAGCCCAAGCACAGAATGCGAAGGCCGGCACCACCACCCATTGAAGAAGAGAGGAAAATCAAGCCGTTCGAGAAGAAGCCCATCACATTCATGTTCCATGCAACCTATGGAAATCAGCTCCTCAGCATCATGGAGCACGGGCTCAAATCTGGGAAATCCCAGTCAAACCCTTCGGGGAGACTGCACGTCCACATGGCATGCATCGATGACGTCATCCTTGACGACGATGAGTCAGAAGCCGCATTGACCCATGTGCCAGCAGGAAGAGATGCACTGTTGATCCTTGCATTCCTCAAGGACCATGACTATGGCATCCGACTCTCCGAAGAGCGAACAGCGTTGACAGACAAAACCATCGAGGCAAGGAACATTGTCGCAGCATTTGAACCTGATGGCAGCCTCATGGCGAGCAACAAGTGGATCATGAAGAATCTCAGTCATGAAGATTACGAGACGTACGACACCAAGATCCGCGAATTTGCCGATGCCTTCTTCAATTATGTGAATTCCACCAAGCACAGCAAGGAAAAGGATACTTCCTCAGAGACTAAGAAGAGACGACATTCCACCGATCAGGACGAAGCTGAAGAAGAGGCGATGGAACGCTTCGGGGAAAGATCCGTCAAGCCAAAACTCACCGTGGAATATCACAATTCAGAGAACTAGATGAGTTGATCCAAGAACTCAAGGGAATCTATATCGAAACAGATTTGAACAAAAAGGACGCAGAGGAAGAGCTCGCGGAGACCAAGGCAACCCTCTCCGACTTCATGAACAAGTTCAACAAAGATCCAAGAAGAGCTCATCCCAACTTGACAGAGTGCAAGAGAGCCTCATTGGCACATGTCGATCCCAATGTCAATCTCGGAGAAGAAGAATTTTACTTCCCTCATCGAGGAGAATGTCCCACCGTTGACGAGTACAAGCAAGCTCAACCAGGATCCGGATATCCGATCAAGCTACCGCTTGGATTGAAGAAGCTCAGGTCACAAGATGACCCGGAAATCATCCGAGCCTATGCCGATATCCTGGGATCGCTGATGCAGCCGACCGACCGTCCTCCTGTGGACTATCTCAACATGCATGAGTTCACCTCATCCATAGCGATCAACATGCTTACCCTGAACCATGGAAACCTCACAAGGAATCCAAAGCTGGACAACAGGGAGGTGTACAACATGCCGATGAAGGATCGACCGATCGTGAAGATGATGATGCAGAACAGTGCACACATCTTATGCCTGAATGAAGCAGACGCATTCTTCAGTCCTAATGATGAGAAATCCAGGGAGCTCATCAAGACGTTCATCCGATACGGTTACAAGGGCGTCGTGATCAAGCAATGGTCATCCAGACCGATCGCATGCCTCTGCAAGAGTGGAACTTCTGGCAAGACACATTTCCACCAAGAGCCAGAATTGGGGAACCACATTCGGAATGTTCAGATGTTTCTTCGGAACTGAAGGAAGTTGCACTGATCCCGAATATGAAATTCCGACCTCGGATTGCTTGGCAACCACAGGACCATCCATGTTAACTGAATCCAAGAAGTACATTGGATCGAGATTGCCAACACGCACCATTGTCCAAGGACATGGCCGAGACAAGGAGATCGTCGTTCTCCATATCGAGCAGAGTGATGAATTTCGTGGCACGCTCCCGAAATCATCCAACAAGTCACTCCATGAGTATGACGACCGCCACATAACGAGGGCAGATCTCCCATTCGCTACCATTGGAGTTTTCCACATCCATCCTTCAATTTGCCATGGAGCAGCAAAGGAAGATCTTCAAAATGAAATCATGCCGCTCGTGACTTTGTACCGATGCGATGCGATCACCGGAGACGCCAACAAATCAGCGAACACCTACAGCAAACTCCAGCACGTCTTCAATCCGGCCAACGGTCTCGTGAACATCCTCATGAGAGCATGTCAGAAACTGTGGAATGAGACGAAAGATTTGCCACTCGTGGACAGAATGGAGTATGCAATGGAGACTTCGTGCACCCTCAAATCCATTGTCCGTCATCACCTGTACATGAAGTGTGGATCAGGATATGATCGAACATTCCCAGATGTGATGATGACTTTCGCATTTGGATGAGCAAAACGAACATCCAGCAGGATGTCCGGAAGGACGAGATGAACGGCATGGATGATGAACAACTGGTATTCATGCGGAACCATCCAACCAAGGCCATATTCGATTACCAGGTCTCATCCGCAGAGCGCTTTAAGCACGTGAACAATGACATGTGAATGGCTCGCAGGACTCCGACTCTCACAGTCCTCTCATGGTGTACATCCACAGCAAATCTGCAACCAGTAAACGCAGGGCTGAAAGATACCAGGAGTACATCAAGAAGAAACAAGTCTGGACCCCGCAGGAGTACAAGGACTACAACAAGCAGTGGGGACGTCAGAAGCAGTGGAAGGACTATAGCAACTCGACCTGGAATGATTATGGAGACTATGGCAGTCAATCCGACAGCAGCCGCCGATGGTATCGTCGATCCGACTGACCATGAAGATTCATACGTTCAGCACCACGAACTCAATTCAGATGGTTGATCCTCACCGTCTACAAGACTATACCATGAGTGAGAGATCAATAGTTTCACAACCGTCCCGCGTGTACATAGCGTTGTACATCACCCTTTGATACATCTAGGTATCTCAAAAGGAAGCAGTACATAGTGTTTCCCATTTCGAATGCCAAGACATTTCATCCGAGCAGACAAGAGGATGAATCCGGCATTTTTAATACACATGGCTGCGGCATACAGCATGGCTACGGCATACATCAAGGCTACGGCCAAAGGCCATGGAGCCAATAGTATTTCATACTTAGTGCTGGAGATCAAAAGAAATTTGTGTCTGTTTTGTGGTTGTTTCTCAGACCAGTTGATCTCCCGCAACATTTGGCTCAAGGCCCCTTTTGTGTATATCATTGCATCATCAATGATCGCGTGAAGCAAAAGAACCTTTGCAGGCCGCGTAGATCCAGGGACCAACAACGACCTCTTCTACAACAGGGTACCAGTTCCCTTCTGGGATAGGCACCTGAGGCAGTAGACCTCAACTTGGAGCAGACGGCAGATCCTGTCCTGGCTTGATATGTGATCAGCAGGCGAGACTAAACAAGCAGCAGGCGGGCGGACGTGACGTGGGCAAGGCTTGTCATCCCCCCCCCCCTCAACCACGCCTCACCGATGCCGATCATCCCCCCCCCCCAAGGTCCAGGCAACACCGATGCCAATCATCCCTCCCCCTCCCCAAGGAAAACGTTTTCGGTCAACACCAAAGCTGATCACCCCCCCCCCGCCCGGACTTTGTGCAAATTGAACCTTCTTAAAATCCACGGCAATTGCTGGGCTGTGACTTTCACAAACGTTCCCCTCCCCCCCGCCCCCAAAAAAAAGCCAACCCCCAAATTTGGCCATACTTGTTTTAGATCATTCTGGTCTCACTCAAAAGCTGTATTCTGCGCGCCTTTTCCCTCAAACCAACAGGTTGCCTTGCGTGACAGGCCTTTAAATTGGGTTCCATGCATAAGGGCCTTTTTTAAGAAGGCCAACAAAGGTTCGACACGGCGCGCCTGTGCTCCTTGCGCAGCCGCAGCCAGGCCCGCCGCCCCAGTGCCGGAGCCCAGTTCTAAGACCCTGGCGGTTTCTTCTGCCGGATTTAACTTTTTTGTGATTTGAATTGAAATGAGCGGACGCGTCCTAGGCCCCCGTTAACCAATTGATTCCCGCAGTCTGACCCTTCCAAGCGAAACTTTCATGATATGGACTACACAACTAGAAGGTTCTGTCTTCTTTCGTTGCCCCCCCCGAACTTCTCTCAGGGGAAATTGTGGGATGGACTCAATCATTCTGGGCGGCGGGGTTGGGGCATCATAAAAGCAAATTTCATCATGGCCACGCGAGACTCAATTGCATTTTTGGGTTCTGGTGAAAGCAAAACGGAGCCGAAACAAGAAAACCTTGCAGGAGTGGCTGGAAAGACTGCCCCTCAGCCCTGTCAAGAGAGGTGGAGTAGATAGGCCCCAGTCCGTTTTGCAATGGCTCTAACCCCACCCCCAACTGCTTAAAGCATGTGGGGAAAGTCCCCGCCATCCCACATTGAGGGCACGCACCCCCTTCCACGCATAAACCATCGATCTATTTTTAGGGCACCTTGCAAATAGCCTTCCCATTCTGCAATGTTTGAACTGGCTAAGATGTTTCAGGACCTCAATGCCAGGCGCCTAGGGGCGGATTGATCTGGGCCAATTTAGCCCTGCGAATTGGGTGAGCGGAACCCATTGTCCAGGGCACGGCTTGTCCATCCATATGTCCACGTCTTGTCCAGTGTTTTTCCAAACAGCGAAGCATTGGGGTTCTAACTTGAGGCATAGAGAATGGGAAAGTGTGACGCCGATTCCGGGTCCTGTTTTTTGCTTGTGCTTCCTGTCTCCCAGTCTCTCCGGTCAGATGCCAGATGCTGTGACGCTGGCTGTCTCCCAGTCTCTGCGGCCAGATGCCAGATGCTGTGACGCCGGCTCGGGGTCGTGTCTCCCGCTTGTGTCTCCCAGTCTCTGCGGTCAGACGCTTGTCTCCCTGTGTCTGGATGCCAGATGCTGTGATGCTGGCTCCAGGGTCGCCCGCTTGTCTCCCAGTGCTCCCTCTCCCAGTCTCTGCGCGCCGGCTCTGGGGTCTTGTCTCCTGCTTGTCCCTCTCTGCGGTCGGTGCCAGATGCTGGGTTGTGTCTCCCGCTTGTCTCCCTGTGTCTCCCACTCTGCGGTCGGATGCCAGATTCTGTGACGGGTCGTGTCTCCAGTCTCTGCGGTCAGATGCCAGATGTGACTTGTCTCCTTGTGTCTGCCAGTCTCTGCAGATGCTGTGACGCCGGCTCCGGGGTCGTGTCTCCATCCTGTTTCTCCCAGTCTCTGCGCTCGGACGCCGGTCTGGGGTTGTTTTGTGTCTCTCGCTTGTCTCCCCTCTGCGCCTGATGCTGCACCTGGCTTGCTGCCAGCTGGCTGTTTGTTTAACGCTTGCAGCCCTCAACAGGGTCCCGGGCAAAGCCAACTGAAGCTGCTTCTTCTTTGCGAGTTTTGGGGCTGACCTGCTGCCAGCTGGCTGTTTTCCTGCTTACAGCCCTCAACAGGAAAAATGAAGGTCCCGGGCAAAACCAACTGAACCTGTTTCTTCTTACCCAGTGTTGAGAAGCATCAAGCTAGAAACATAGATTCGACAAGTCAGCAGGAACCACTTGCAACAATGTTTCGCAACGGGGAAAGGGCATGTCGCAGATTTTGCTGTTAGCCTGTCGAGCCTTAAATGTGTCCTTTTTGTCCTCGATAACCAAATATACATCCGCCTGATTGCTTGCTTTTTGGAAGCCAGTGCCGCGCTTCTTGGCCAAGTCAAGTTTGCATCCTTGTGTGGCGCATCAGCAGAGTCCTGTGCCTTAAAATATATACTTTTGCTCTCGAGAAACAAATACCGTGACATCCACCTGGTTGCTTTGCTCAGGAAACTGAGCTGCTTTTTGGAAGCCAGTGCCGCACTTCTTGGTCAAGTGCAGGTTTGCATCCTTGTCGCGCATCAGCAAAGCTGTCGAGCCTTAAATCTGTATATTGTTCTCGATAAACAATTATACCGTGACATCTGCCTGATTGCTTTGCTTAGGATTCTGAGCTGCTTTTTGGAAGCCAGTGCCGCACTTCTTAGTCACGCGCAGGTTTCTGGCCAGAGCCCTGTCGAGCCTTAAATGTGTCCATTTTGTTCTCGATAAACAAATACTTTGCTCAGGGTTCTGAGCTGCTTTTTGGGAGCGCCGCACTTGTTGGTCAAGTGCAGGTTTGCCCGGCCAAGCCTTAAATGTGTACTGTTGTTCTCGACAAACAAATAGCGTGACATCCGCCTGATTGCTTTGCCAGGAAACTGAGCTGCTTTTTAGAAGCCAGCACCGCACTTCTTGTCAACTGCAGGTTTGCATCCTTGTGGCACATCAGCAGAGCCCCGTCGAGCCTTAAATGTGTCTGCTTTCTTGACAACAAAGAAAATGGGACATCCGGCTGATTGCTTTGCTCAGGATACTGTGCTGCTTTTTGGAAGCCAGTGGCGCATCAGCAGAGCCCAGCCAAGTCCTTAACTGACTGGCATCCTTGTGCCAGCAGAGCACAGCGAAGTCGCCTTAACTGATTGGTCTGCATCCTTGCGGCGCATCAGCAGAGCCCAGCCAAGTGGCCTTAACTTACTTGTTTGCATCCTTGTGGCGCATCAGCAGAGCCCAGCCAAGTGGCCTTATGGTTTGCATCCTTGCGGCGCATCAGCAGAGCCCAGCCAAGTCGCCCCTAACTGACTGCTTGTGGAGCCCAGCCAAGTGGCTTTAACTGACTGGTTTGCATCCTTGTGGTGCACCAGCAGAGCCCAGCCAAGTGGCCGTAACTGACTGGTTTGCATCCTTGTGGCGCATCAGCAGAGCATGCTTGTGGCGAGTCCAGCCAAGTGGCTTCAACTGACTGGTTTGCATCCTTGTGGCGGATTAGAAGTTAAGTGGTTTTAACTGACTGGTTTGCATCCTTGCGGCGCATCAGCAGAGCTCAGCCAAGTTGCCATAACTGACTGGTTTGCATCCTTGTGGCGCATCAGCATGCTTGTGGCGAGTCCAGCCAAATGGCCTTTTCTGACTGGTTGGCATCCTTGTGGCGCATTAGGAGCCAAGTGGCCTTAACTGACTGTGGCGCATCATAGCAGAGTGACTGGTTTCAGCAGAGCCCAGCCAAGTGGCCGTAACTGACTGGTTTGCATGCTTGCGCATCAGCAGAGCCTTAACTGATTGGTTTGCATCCTTGTGGCGCATCAGCAGCGCCCCGCCAAGTGGCCGTAACTGACTGGTTTGCATCCTTGTGACACATGAGCAGAGCCCAGCCAAGTGGCCATAACTGACTGGTTTGCATCCTCGTGGCGCGCCCAGCCAAGTGGCCGTAGCTGGCTGGTTTGCATCCTTGTGGCGCATCAGCAGAGCCCAGCCAAGTGGCCTTATGGTTTGCATCCGTGTGGCGCATCAGCAGAGCCCAGCCAAGTGGCCGTAACTGACTGGTTTGCATCCTTGTGGTGCACCAGCAGAGCCTAGTTAAGTGGCCGTAACTGATTGGAGCCCAGCCAAGTGGCTTTAACTGACTGGTTTGCATCCTAACCAGAGGGCTTGTGCGGGGGTCAGCCACAATCTTAGCCGCTGCAGGAAAGACCTCCAGCGATGTCACCAGCAAGTTGCGCAAGCAAGTTGCGTTAGCAAGTAGCACTAGCGAGTTGCACTGGCAAAATGGCACTAGCAAAATGGCGCAAGCCAGTAGCACGAGCAAGATAGCGCTAGCGAGATGCACGAGCCAGTAGCGCTAGCCAGTGGCACTAGCAAGTAGCACCAGCATGTGGGTGAGTTGCACTAGGAAGTTGCAGTGTCTTGCGGCAAGAGCTGCGCGCAGAGAGCTTGCTCAGACAACTTGCTTATTGAATCTTGTTCGCAGAAACTTGCTGGGAGAACTTGCTCAGAGAATTTGTGCCAAGAACTTGCTTGGAGAACTTGCTCAACGGAACTTGCGCCAACAACTTGCTCAGAGGAACTTGCGCAGAGAACTTGCTAGGAATACTTGCGCCGTGCGCTGCTCGTGCTTTCGGGCCACCCATCTTCTATAGTCTCTTCTTGGTAGCATCACTGTAGTTCGAGCACCCTTTCTTGTTGGCAGTGCTGTTGCAAACCTTGCCTCCCATCTTGTTGCCAGTAGTTAGCGCCTTCTCAGTTAGATAGCCATGTGGCCCGGCCAAAATCACAGCTTCGCCTCCACTACGCCCTCAACATCGATTCCGACCTGTTCAAGACACTCTGCGTGCGTGGCGAACTCCCCAGCAACATTACGGAATGGCGGCAATGTGGTGATTGCAACAAGGACACACGGTCATGGCCATGTTTCGACACATGTTCGGTGGCTGTATAATCCAATAAGAGTTGCTAACGCCGCCGCCGTGTTTGATGGTTTCTTTTTGGGTCCCATCAACAAGAGCCGCTTCGCCAATCGCAGTGTGGCTTGGTGGTTTCCTGGTTACTTGCTCTTGGAGATCTGGTGCTATCGCAGAGAGGGACGAGCGAACACACAGCCAAGCAGGCGTGCTTATCATCTTGTTGCATCGTAAGGGGGGGGCCAAGCTCCAAGATTTTTCTAAACGGTTTCCAGAAAGAATTGTCCTGGAAGTAAAGCCTGGGTGTCGGGCCCCCAACCAACTCGCAAGAGTTGTTCGCATCGTCCTCGAAAAGCTTGGTTGATGCATAGGAGCCTTTTCCTGGCAACCTGCTTCGCTGACCTTGACAACTTGGAAAGAGTTCACGAACCCGGCCAGTTGATTACAGTGCTGCTGCAGCTGAGTGAACGCAGGCCCAGAGGTTGTCGCCAGCGGCGTGCATTGGAATGACGGCCGCCGGTCGCCACACATGTGAACACCAATCTGCGAACCATAAGCACCAACTCCAAGATGAACCCGGCCAAGCTGGTGGTGTCCACTGTGCAGCCCATTGGCAAGTTGCGGCAAAGTTCTCACACGTTTCCGGGATGGAGCAGGGCTGGAGCTGACGTTCAAAGCCAAGCCTGTTCCAGAATGGAGGCGCATGGAACAAAGCTATGTGTTGGCCATCTTGGGAGCGCGCTGGACACGACAGAGATGAAGGCCCTGGATGACCAAGCTACTGCCGGCTCAAACACTGAGGATTTTCTGGAGCTGTGCCGGGTGACAGAGGTGCAAGCGGGCACCTTTGCTGACGCTTGCCAACTTGGCGCGGCGTGTGTCTGCGTTGCTAGGCGAGGATGTCCCGGCCGTAACGCTACAAGGCGCAGCCTGCAAGTTTATGCAAGTGCTATCTTGCTTTGCTTGTGGCAAGACCTTTAGCCGTTTCAGCAGAGTAGCGAGACGGCCACCAAATGCTGCGGTGATGGAAAGGTGCATTGAGTGTCCGTACTACGAAAGTTCCTTCGAAACTTCCTTTGATTAATGCCAGGTGTTAGGTTGATTCACCCCGAATCCCCGGGGCCTTCTCTCGAACATGGCATTGACATGGAATTTTCTCCTCGAAGTCGATGAACATCGATGCTTTTACCCGGCGTCAAGGAGATGGATGGACCCGATGTGTCCTCTTCCGAAAAAAGGGGACTTCCTGCAGGGACATACATGGACTGATTGTAACTATGTGTTGCTCACATAAGCTACTCAATTTCGCACCTTACATGAAGGAGACAAGCCTTTTTTGGGGTTATACAGACCTGCCATGCTTTTTTGCTGTTTGGGGTCGAGGCTGGTGAAATTTTTAGAGGGTACCATGTTTTGGGACGTTTCAAAAGAATGTTTTTGGGAGGCTTGATCCGCTTGGACTGATTTTGCTTCCAGAGGTAACCCAAAGAAGCAGAATGACCCATGGCAAGCGAGACAGGGCAGAAGTGAGAAATCTGTTTTGGGGAATATCGCGCCTTTTTGAGGTTTCATGTAAATTTCAGGGGAGTATCAGATCCAATCAAGCCAACTGGCGCTGGCATCCGACTGCGACAAGCTAACCTCTGACCCGGCCCGCGTCCAGGCCTTTTGGATTCGTACGCCTGGCGTCCAGGCCAGAACATGGAATTTCCAATATGCCCCTTTTCATTGATTTCAACAGACAAACCACCCAAAGTGGACCCTGGACGACAGGAATTTCCCGAAGAATCGCGCTGCTTGTGCCCTCCAAATTTCAAACTAGTTCGTCGCGGAGCAACTCACACAATGTGTGTCCCTTCGCTTGGCTGTCATGGCTTACAGGGTACCCCAGCACTTTTCACAGGGTAGCCAAACATGGACATCTGCATCGCCTTGAAAACTAGGGACGCTGATGTAATCTGATGGGTAGTGTTTTGACTGTCTGGGATGCTTGTGGGAATGCACTGATCTTGCCGTAGCTTGGCGCTATAAATGCATCCGACAATTTGTTGATTTATCTCCACATGAGCCATAACAAGGGAACCGCTAAAGTAGAGTCCCCTACCTAGGGCATTTGTATGGCAGGGGTGAAGCATAGATACGGTAGCCAGACCAACCACTCAAATTCTGGGTCTCGTGCAAAGGGTTCAGCCCAACCTTCCATGCATGGCACATGGCTATGCGATTGAATAGCGAGCCACCTTAAAAGTGGTTGGCGGGCATAAGCTGGTGCCCATCGGTCCAATTAAGTCACACTCGCATGATTGCCCTAGCACCAAGACAACATGTATGGTGGAGCGATATGTGTTGGTATACGGCCTCTCTTCCTCAGACCTCCAGTGGATTTGCATGGGGGAAGAAAGGGCGGCATCTTCTTTTTGACAGTTGATCAATTCAACGGGTTCCAAGCAAAACGAAACAGAAGCAACCTGAAGATCTTTTTCGCCTTCCCAAGGCATTGCGCCAGAACTGCGCCGGCAGCCCAGAGCCTCACCCACACACACAAACTGCTTTCGGCATCCTGTTTGAGTTGGTACCCTGTTTTTGGGGAACATCCTTGTGGTTCCTCTTTGAAGGGCGCAAGGGTCTGGTTTATTCAAATGCAAAACTCCGGAGGAAACATGGGGCCTCAAGAAATTGTTGCAGGGGGACGCTCTTGGGTTCTATTTTCGGGGTTGGTTTATGTACATGGAAAACAGAAGGACAATCACAGTTCTTGGGGTTACGCTTTGCCATCAGCTTCCCTCGAATGCTTTTGGAGGTTATTCCCGCTACAACAGAAATCCCAAACCACTACCAAGGGCTGCCTGACATGGTGGAAGGGGCAGAAAGGCCCTGGACAGACGTGTTCTTCACTATATCAGGGTTGGGGGGGGGGGGCACCTGAATTTCCCACCAAAACAGAGGGCCACCGAATTCCTTGTTCTCTTGCAGCAAATAGTAATTTTG